ATAAAATAACAATTTTTCATTTATCTAAAAACATATTTAATGAAAAAAATGATTATTTTTCCATTTAATTTTATTGTTACTTAGAAGAAATGCAAAATCTCCCTATTTAATGAACAAAATTAAAGAATATGTATGTTAAATAGATTATTCACATATGTCACATAATTGTCATATATTACTATATAAGCAGATATTCATCAAAATAATATCAGACATTTGTCAATTAAATATAGGATAATCGAACAATGACAAATCATGCCGTACATGTCACATCATTCAAGAGCAGCTTAAGCATCATAAAATTGCTGCTCAGCTGCCCAGTGAACGTGCTGATCTATTCATGATCGGGGCATAATCGAAGAGGCATCAACAATATGCCGGGATAATCGGCTCATGTCATGCCCATTAGGGCTCGCATTCGCCCACTACGCAAGCCGCAGTTGCTGATGCTGCCCGATCGATCAGCTGCCAGCGATCGAGCTCGAGCTCGAACTCGCTCCACTGCTGCACGCAGATCTGGCTGACAGTTGAGCTGAGCGTAAAATCGAGTGCAATAAAATGAGCAGAGAGTCGACGCGCTCAGCAAGTGCCCAACTGGCTGACTGGAGGAACCCGGGCGAACTGCAGCCGAGGAGGACGCGAGCTGCGCATGATCGTTGCGATGATCGCGCTGAATGCAGCGCCCAGCGGTTGTGCACAGCAGCGGGAAGGAGACTCGGAATCCATATACTGCTTTGGGTTCAACTCGAAGCGTAGCGGAACTAGCTGCATTTTTGCACGGCGCATTAGCAGCCAGAAACAACAAAAACAACRGCAGCAGCAGCAGCAACAACAAATAGAGTCAAGCATAACAAACATTATGGCCCAACAGGGTATCGAAGTGTTGCAAATTTTTATTTGGAAGCAATTTTCACACCCTGCGCAAACGGCGCAGCGAGCTGCACGAGAGGACAACAGGCGGGCCGGACAACTGACCCCGGCAGGACATGCGCTGACAGGACACAGCGTGTCGAATCCAACTGTTGACAACTTCATGGAGCGTTCGTCAGCCAGAGCTGCCAAATGATGCCAAATGATTGCAGACCATATAAATTTCGATTGTCGACGATTAGGCAGCCAGGTAAATGTGCAACGTGCTACGTGCTACGTGCAACGCTCCCGCCCCAGCGGGACAGAGGCGTGGCAGCAAGTCGAAGTCAAAGTCAGCGTCTTAGTTGCGCTTACCCAGCGATTATTTGCAATTATGAGCCCGAAATTTTGCAGCTTAGCTCAACTGATGCTGGGCCACGCCCACACCCACGCCAGCACCCAACGCCCACTTCTACTGGTATGCTGTACGAATTTCCCAATGCCTTGTGACAGTTGACTTTCTGACTTGTTTCATAAACACCTTCTAACTGGGCCGCAACCAAGACTTGACCTTGCCCAAAAAAGAAAAAATTGAATATATAGAAATAGAAATACGGCTCAAGGTCAACGCTGCCGTTTGGTTGACCTTCAGGGCCAAACCGAGCTGAGCTGAGCCTCGGGGGGTTTGTGGGCGCTGTGTGGTTGTGTGTTTTGCTTGTTGTGGCGTTGCTTTGGTTACACCAACACCAGCTGCTGCTGCTGCTGCTGACCTTAGAAATTTGATGGATTGCTGCCCGCCTGCTGAAGGCCAGTACGGGCGAAATCGCATTCGCTACGTCTCGTCTGCGGCTAACCATATCGCATGGTAATACCAATTTATATAGCCTTCATTATGGCCAAATTAAAACAGCTCATCGGCCATTACTCACTAGCCAAATAGCGCGCCTTTATGAGCCTCGCGAGCAGAGGTTACCACCATATATGCCATATAGGCATATAGCATATAGCATATACCGTATAGCGGACTACCTACAGCGGTTTTTATGATTTGTTTACACGGCTGCGTTCGTGCAGTGAGTGCAGCGTGTTTTTCAAGTCTTTGTGTCTGCCTCCGTCTCAGTGTACGTCTTCGTTTCCGTCTCAGTTTCTGTTCTCATCATTTGGATTTTCCGCAGCAATAAAATTAATAAGAACGCGCTAATTTTGCAGCTCCGGCCCCGCCACCAGCCGCCCGCCTGCCTACGATGTGGCCTAAGCAAATAGATCGCACTCACTCATCTAACTCTTTTGCCCCTAAACCAGTGCCAGACTGTGCCAATATTTGCGCAGGCTGTGTCGCCCTCGGTCCGCCATTTTGTGCGCTGTAATGACATTTACGATCGCTTGAGGATCGAGTTGCTGCTGCTCTGTGTCTATGTGTGTGTGTTTGTGTTATTGCTAAGCCCGCAAATAATAGCCCATTAATAGCTTGACATAATCTTTAAAAATACATTTAATTCATTGCGGATGCGCACGACAACAACAGCAGCAGCAGCAGCAACAACATTGCGCGCGCGCGAATGCAATGGCGATATGGGAAATATATAAGCCGAAGCGGATCCGCACATCTGCTGTAGGTGCAAGCGGGCGCGCGCATGCCCAAAATGCAGTCGACTGTCCAATTAGTTGGCGCAGCCAAACTAGTAGAAGCTCGACATGAGCAAGAGCAAAAGGTAAACGGCAATATTTATGTGTGTGGGAGAGGGAGAGAGAGCGAGAGAGAGAGATAGTTTGTGTGTGTGAGCGAAGAGCGTGAGTATGTGCTCGGCTGTGTGCGTACATAAGCAGCGCTCACTCCGAAAATATATTTACTCCGAATAGCAATGCATGTAGAGAGTTCTAGTGTGATATATATAAATGGAATGAAATAGAAAAAAATTAAAACTTGTAAAGCAAATAATATATTAGAGCAACAAATGTGAATAAAATATAATTGATTAATTATTACTTAATAAGATATTTTTTTAAAATACGACATAAATGGTATACAATCTTATAGCTATTCTCTAATTTTATTTCATTAGTGAAAAATGTATAATAAACTGCCCACACATGAATTTTCCAATTTTATAGATAATTTCAGCCAACTACAACCGATAATAAAAGTCATTAATAACATTTTGAATAGCAATAAACATTCAAAAATATTACAAAATGCACACACACACACAGTCCAGCTCTTTGAATGCTATAAAAACTAAGTGTTGCCCAAAGCTGTTGATATGCTAATTTACCGTTATTGATATTTGTATCAAATTGTGGCAAATAAGTGTAATTAAATGCAGTTAGCGCACCCATAAATCGCCAGCTAAACCACAAAAATAATTCCATCAATCTGGCCAAGGCGATTGCTTGACTCTGATACCGAAAAATGCACTGGCAATAATTTCCAATATTTCCGCCATTTCTTATTGGGCGCAGGCCGTATATATACTACACTTACACAATACCAATGCACAGCGCATACACACACATGCGCACAAACACACACGACAATAGCTCCAAGCGTTCGTCTCTCGTAATATGTGCTACAACACTAGCTGCACTCTTCACACACACGCTACGGCTGGTCTGCGCTGTACAAGCACCGTATTGCTCCTCCTCCACACGTTCGTCGATCATGAGACGGACGGCAGAGCAACAGCAACAGCATCACCAGCTGGAAATGTAGGCATGAAAAACATAGTGAAAACCTAGTGAAAACCGCTGCTATTGCTAGATACCTAGTAGAGGTGTCGGAAATAATGGGGAAATGAATATATTTTAAATATTAAATTTCTGATATATATAAAATGATTATTTTAAAGAAATATTGTATGTGAATTTCATATTTGAAAATTATTTTAAGCGATTTTCAGTCTTGCTATGTACTCATAAATTGAATAATTGAATTTGGAATTTATTCATAATTATTAATTACAAACATATTGATGGTATAAAATAATATTTTTGCTAAAGGGTGCAATAAACATTTTATGATTAAGTTAAGCTAACAGTCAAACCACCTCCTATTCTATTCCATTGGAATAGCTATTGCGTACATTTCCTGTTGGGTTACAGAGCATTTTACATGAGCACACGAAGCGAGTGCTCGGCAATTCGTGCCACGACGACGACATCGACGACAGCGACGACAGCGACGACGTCGACGACTGCGACTGTTATGTGGTGGCTCGATCCTCAATAATTTCGAGTCTCTGGTTGGTTGTCTTCGATCTGTTTGCTGGCTGTGACTCTCGTCCGTCAGTCGCTCATTCGCCTCTCGTATTCGCTGTCGTCAACACACGCGCACGCAACGGCAACGGCAACGGCAACGCCAGCTGAACAGGTTTCAAAAATCTATTTGTCGAGTCGAGCTGAGTCGAGACTCGATCGGTCCAGGTAAAAGAACGCGCCGTGTGTTTCAGTTAAGCGTTGGCACTGAACCGGGTAACAATCTTTCACTCCTCCGCTCCGGCACCGACAATTCGTACAAAATACTTACGCGACGTCCATTCACCTACTATGTAGAGCAAATGGAAAGTGTTTAAGAGATCGTCTTCATTCATAAAAAGGAAAAATATTCCAAAACGAAAAACTGTTTCAAGTTTTTTACAAGTGAAACAAAACGCATCAAAGTAGAAAATAAATAAAAACAAATCAAGTGCCGAGTCGTGTGATCAAGCTATATAATATATCAGTCAACATCATCAATATACGATGCACAAAATATCAAAATCAATATCTGTGCGCATGCTGATGATGATTATGCCTCAGTTATAGTGCGCTAATTGAACGTGAAATTGCCATAAAAAAGAAAATATTTAGACAAGCGAATCTAAGAGTACAACAACAAGAAAAATCGAAAGCAAATACAAAACTGACTACTGGCTGGTCAGTCACAGTCAATCCACAATCAATATTGTGTATATATATATATCTATATATACATATATAAATCTAAATATTTGTGAAAACAAAAAACATTGTCATGGATTTAAGTTACATATTTATCGTCTGCCTGCTGGCGCTCTACAGCGCCGACGCCGAAAGCAAACAGAAGTCGGGCAGAGGCCGAGGCTCCATGTGGTGGTAAGTAGCTAGAAAATCCAAGGGAAACACACACACAGAAAGCGAGAGGGAGAGAGAGAGAGGGGGGATGTGCACATCGCTGACATTGAAACTGACGCCCACGCAACATTTGCATAGATCAACAAACAAATTTCGTCTGCGGGAGGGGGCGGGAGGAGACAAACAACAGTTCGGGTAATTAGCGAGCGGGCGAGAAGAACAAGCGCAAACAGGCAGCGGGACAGAGCGACTGTTGCGTGAGCCAAAAGCCAAAAATGTCAAAGCCAAACAAAAGTTTTGAGGCACGCGCCAGCAACTGTTGCAGCCGTTGCAGCAACCGTTAAGAAAGCCACGAAAATTAACGCAAAAGTTGAACGAACAAAAGTTTCCCAAGCTTAAGTCAAAAGATGCCAAAAGGTCTTGCTCTTTAAATGACCAAATCTCGAGGCAGCTTCGGCTGCTGCTGTTGTTATTGTTGTTGCTGCTGCTGCAGCAGCACGCACAATGCGGAAGCCACAAAATGCAGCAGCAGCAGCAGCTTTTTTGTCTGATGAAAGCAATTAAAAATTCTAAGCGCGCATTCAACTTTTACCTCTGGGGGAAAACAGATGCGGCATGAATTGTGTATGTGTGTGAGTGTGTTAGTGTATTGGTGACACACTTAATGCCAGCCAAGACATGAACAATGTGTGCTAAGAATACATTTTATTAATGGGCAACTGCAGCTGCAGCCACAAAATCAAGTTCGCTGCCTAAGTCTTTCGATTTGCGCACAAAACTTCGATTTGAGTTCAATTCGAGTTCAAAACATTTCATGCGGTAATCATTTTTTATAACGGCAACAATTTTGCTAAACAGAACAGAAAATCGAAAAAATAAAATAAAAAGAAATGAATGTATAAGAAATGCCTGTATTTTTTCCTTTTTTTTTTTTTTTTTTTTT